AATTCGCATATTCATACCAGTTCACTGTATGGGGTTCTGAAAACACTGGCATGCCAATGGATTGCCCATCTACATCGTACTGGCATGCCAGCACAAGCATGAAAAGTATACTGGCATTTCAGTTACTGCCATTAACTTTGTACTGGAATGAGTTCATCCCAGTTCCGGTTTATATTACGCCATTAACTGGACTGGCTCTCTGGATTGGCTTGCTACTGGCATCATGTAAACGGGGTATTATTATGTTTCACTTTTGTTATATGAAAGAAAATAATGGCACCGTCGGCAAAAAAATATCAAAAATCAACACGAATACTTAGCCTCTTGAAACTTGCACTTTATTATTCTAGAACTTAATGGACTACCTAAAAATCATGGAAAAAATTTGTTATTGTGAAAATGGTGTGTATTATATAATTAACTAAGTTTTAATACAAAATTAAAAAACATCAAACAAACAAAAGAAAAATAGTCAAAACTGCATTTTTATAACGTGTTTCCACGAACAATTCGCTGCAAGCTTTCATCATTTTAAATAGATATATCAACTTTATACTACTTTTTTACATTAAAAAATAACAAAAAGAAAGTGTTTTTTTGTATAAAGGCGGAATTTCGGGAAACAAACAGCAGTATCAATTTTGGAAATCCAAAAAAGGTATAACACTGCAAAACAAGCATAAATAAGACCGTTATGTACGCTGCCAGTAGATCGTTTGCAACACGAAATCTGCTTAAATGCTCATTTATTCGAAGATCTACATAGTTAAAATCATAAATTTTTTTCTTTTATTTAATTTTTTGCTTTTGTTTTTGAAAGCACTCTCCACTTTGCTACAACAATTTGTCGTACATTATCTTTAAGCGCAAGAAAAATTTTTGTTTATCATCGAAAGTTGCCTGCCACACAATTCCACCTCTGCACTGCCTACTTGCGTATCGCGCAGAGGCTTGGTTGCTGCCTACCCAGATTGCTACTCATTATTCATTTTGACAATATTATTGATAATGATGTCGATCGGTGAATGGCGTGAGTAAAATATTGAAAACAATTATTGTAAGATTGATTTTTTTTTTTTGTTTTGCTTGCGCCAATGATTTGCAGGATGTGACGACAAAATACACCCATCACATTTACAGTTGTGGCACAGTTTTCAGAAGGGTTTCGCTGCCAGTAGTTAACGTGCGCATTGCCGGTCGCCTTCATCTGTTTGTTGGTTGGTGTTGTTTCCACTTGAAATCACCTTGTCATTTTTATTTAAATTGAGTTATCAGTGGAGTATCAGTAGCACAAAATTCACTCAGTTTTGCACACGACGACACAGCTAGCAAAGTTAGAGCTTTTGACTGGAGCCTCCTGGCCCGGCTCATTTGTCATGCCGTGCATTGCAAATATCCATCTATGCAAACAAGCATACAGCTTCATTCATCGAAGCTAAGAAGGAGCAAGCGATCGCGGTACTCGAACGCATCTCAATTTCATTGCGAATCAGTTTCACTACACTTGACTTGGTCGATAAATGAATGCAGGGATGGCTGGCTGACTGGCTGGCTGGTTGACTGGTCGACTGACTGTCTGCTTGGTTCTTCTCTTGTTGGTCTTGCTTCCATTGATTTCATGTACATATAGAACATATTGAAGAGTTTCTTCCGCTGCATGGATCATTTGTTTGTTTTTTTTTTTTCGACCGCGCTATGTAGATATTGCTTATTATTATTTTAATTTTTTTGTCTTCTGATTTCGACTTCATTCTTCCCCAGAAATGCATTACAATGCAAGCATGATTTTCAAAATTTTTTTCACTTCAATAAAACTCAATAAAATTTCGTTTGTAAGGTGAGGTTTGTTCTTATTTTTTCATATTTATTGTGTTTGCCTTTTATCTGTTGTTGTTGTTTAGTTGTGTATTTTTATTTGTGATTGTTCTGGTGTCTGGAATGTGGTGATGTCAAATCAGTTTTGGTTCAATATTTGTGTTAATGTGTCTTTCTTTCTTCATAACTTTTCAAACGGTTCATTGTGGCGGCGATGCGTTGTGTGTCGAGGCGAGCACAGCCAATTTGTATATAATTTTACGGGTTAATGCACCTGATTGCTTGTTGTATGACGAAAGGAAATTGTGGGATATCTAAATTATTTAATCTTGAGAATGATATGCATTTTTTATGAAAGTTGAGAGGGAGTGTGCGGCACGACCGAAACGTTAAATAAATAAAAAAAAGGTGGCTAATTTTTAACTAGGTATGCATTTTTAGAATTTGTAAGGCATTAATGGACATTTTCGGCTTTGAGATGGTGTCAAGTTGGGGAGTTCGTAATCTGGTTTAGGTTTGATTATGAAAATTGAAGAAAGCAGAAATACACACACAATTTTCTTTCGATATGATGAATATTTCTAAGGCAATGCTTTGGGCTGAGTAATATGAACGCGGGGGTAAAGTCTAGGTATGAGGAAAAATTTAGAGTAAGAATTAAATTTCAAATGAATTTCAGTAGGAAGAACTTATTTAATATTTTGTTCTATGGCATCGTCTTTTAGTTTCCGGCTTTGTAGTCAATTTTCCATATAAGAAAAATACTGGAGATCAATACCGTTACTACGTCCCTAAGAAGTAGGCTGCCAAGGCTGAGATTACTGCACAGAGGTCTTGCATATTATAAGGCTAAAATAAATGCCGTTCTCGTAGTTTTGTTCTCAAAAACGCTTCAAAATTATAACCGAAATAAAAGCAAAACTTCCGAGAATAGGAATTATATAGGAACAAAACCCTGTGTATCGATGTCAAGGAGAACAGAATGGGAATAATACTTTCAGGAATATTTCTAAGAGAACAAAATAAAAACACTAGTTTCCGAAAAGTTTTGGCATAGAACAAAACGGGAACAGAAGTCTGAGGAACTTTCTCTTGAAAAACAATTAGTGAAATAAAATCTGAAGTACTTTCTGACACAGAACGAAACGGGAACAAATTTTCTCTGAACTATTCGCGAAAAATGAAAACGAGAAAAAAATCTTTGTCATATCGTTCGATTAGTTTTAAATGTTCGAATATTTAAAATTAATCAAAAAAGAACTGAAAGATAATAGTGTAAATAGTGGCAACGAAAGACTTAAGACACGAACTTGTTTTTTTCTTTTGGCTTGATATTGGATACCTTGTATAGTTGGATTCGTTGCTTTGAATGTGTGTTACACATAGGTTATTCCGGCTACCGATTAAAAATGCCAGGTCCTTAGCTCAGATAAGAGCATAGTCGATCAACGAAAAGCAGCCGTCCAAGACAAGTTCAGGGTCGAAATGGCATTAATGGTAGAAATCCCAATGCAAGGTTCGGGAAACACTAATAGTGGTAATACGGCTCGGAGGTTTTCTTAAATTGTCAATTGTCTGCTCAAATAATCGGAGTAAGCCACGAATTAATAAAAAGACTTGGCCAAATTTTTGCGCTGTATGGTCTCTGGATATTCCATAGACACCGACAGCTTTCGCGAATAAGCATTGGATACCACAAAGTACACAAGATATTGGTTCATAGAGCGGATACTATTGAAAATGCATGCAAATGGAGAACTGACTCCAAGTACACGTTTTTCTAAATACTCAATATTTATAAATAGCAAGAATAAAGTAAAAAAAATTAAAAAATAAAAACAATATGGTAGACTGCTGGCTACAGCGGCTGGGGTCGCGTTGGATCGAATCAGAGTTGAAGATGTCTGATGAGGAGATGTGGTGATCTCCGAAATAGCCATAACTTCTACCAAAATGTTAATTGATATTTTTTCCGCAAAAATTTTCATTAAAAACGGCCTCAAGCTCAATACAATTGTTGAATTAAAAAAATTATGTTTTTTAATCATTATTTTAAAAATATAAAAGAAAACTATTTAACTTTGTTCGTTTTTAGATTAATATTACACATATAAAATTTCTAATTTTGTGAAATTTTCTTTATATTTTGAATAATTAATTTCGTTACGCTAGAACAGCCAAATGGCCCACTGTGCGTCGGCATGGTTAAATATTAACCGATTTCAAATTAAAAAAACCACTGTCTTCTTTTTTCGATGTTATCAAATTCTGGAGAGGGTGGCTGAAAAAAAAAATGTCAGACCGCCGTAATGTACATACCCTCAAATATTCATAGTGTATTTATGCAAAGCTGTGCCCCCCTTAAGTTTAACTTAAGCTGCATTTAAAAATGTATACTTGAGATACGTTTAATTAATTATTGAGCTGCTTTTAAGCAAAGTTACTACTACTAATAGGAAAACTAAACTAAATATAAAATTTTTGTTCAACAACAAAAAATTGCGAAAATCCCATGATTATACAGATTTTGCTAAAAAAAAAAACTAAAGCGTCGACGGAAGAAACTAAATTCAAATTATATATCGTCCCCTTTACGCAAAATTATTGTATGTTACATTTTTTATGAAATTCACTTTTTGATGCATCTTTGTTTTACAACCCATAGCGCATCACCTGTTCAAATACTACGGCTTGAATCCCAATAGCTACCCCAAAAATTTACTGTAAATTTTATCGTATGGGACAATGATTTTTTTCTGGTTGGCGAAATTATCATATGGGCTAAGAAATTATAACGTAGAGACCATCCTACAAAAAAGCCTTGTGTTTGGTTATATTTCTCAATTATCTCAGCCAATCTAAACTTTGGTATTGAAAAAGCACTTTCCTGTAAAATTTGGTTTTTGTAAGATACGATAATTTTGCACAAAGGCGTTGATATGTATGTGCATGTGTATGTATATAAATAAAATAAAAATATGTACATAGTAGAGCATTCCTTTTAGACAAGCAAAGTGTCCTAACGAAACCGTGAAAGTATTATGCGGTGCAGACCATCATTCTATATTAACACACAAGCCTTTAGTCTCATAGAAGTTCTACATTAGTACACTTTGCCTGCCACACATTTCGCTTTTTTTTTAATTCAAGCTACGATTTTCTACCAAAATTAGTTCGATATTTACCCCACATACCTTGGGAGAACCCAACAGCTTCTAAGCCGTGGGGTAATCCGAAGGGTCCCAGCGAAGGCATTGGCATTCCTGGCGGCAGCGGCCCATGCGGCACCGAATGATGTGGATGTGGGCCGCCATAGCTGTGCGGATGTGGACCCAAATCGCCGGATTTCAAGAAACCCGCAGCCATTAAGGCTTCCGTTGAGTGTAGAGCCACTGTGACGTCTGATGGGTTAGCAGTTGAAGGTCTAAAGAAAAAAATAAAACAGATATGTGATCAGAATATGGTGTAAACAAGGGAGAGGAAGTAGTATTTACTCGAAGAAAATTAAAGTTGATATGTAATTAACGTCTTGATTTCAAAATACTTATACTTATTAAATATATTTACAAAGTATGGCACTCCTAGTATTGGCCACAAAAATGGCAACATACGAGTGCTAACAATGGCTAACAAAAGTTGCCACCCGTCGGGATTTGCGTGTGCAAATAAATGGATCCCTTTCCTACACTATTTTGTATAGTGTATAGACAACTGCACAAGGGGTGGTCGCTCACTCGATTATTTCTACTTGCATTGCTAGTGAGTGACGAATATCTTCAAATACTCACCGTTTAAGTTGTCGCTGCCGGCGTTGTTGTTGGTTTAGTCGTTACAATATGGGTATTCATAAATTTAAATTTCAGACAGATGTGTTATTAATTTACGTGTGCGCGTGAGCATGTAATTTGGGGTCGAGTATATGGTTACGAGTACGGCTAATAGCTGCTGCTGATAATCGGCGATGATGATGATGATGAGGATGCGGATGGTAATGGTGATGATGAGAAGAGTGCTGACTGATTTCGGGCGACGAAAGTTGTTGAGTTGAGTTTCGGCTGATGCATCGAAGAAAAAGGCAATAAACCACCAATGCATTTGAATGCAATGAAACGTGAAAACGATCTGACAAAACAAAGAGCAAATTTTCGGGGAAAAAAAGAAAAACTACAAACAGAGGTGTATTTGTAGGTAGGGAATTGCATGCGAATCGAATAGGCAGACACAGTATTGAGGGTACGAAATATGTTAACAGCAATGTATGCGGTAGACCAAATCAGGGCAAAGGATCAGCCCAACCAACTGACAAGCATATGAGCCAAAGACAAAGAGTGGACGGACGAAGGCACACATGAAAAGGACTACATTTTGTGGTAAATAGTGATCGCACATGCGCACCGAAGGTGTGGATATGTGAAGCACGTGTTTTTTTTTTGTTTTTTTTTTGCATACCTGATGAAAGGAAAATTCGCCATATAGGATAACCGAAAAATGTATGTTATATTTGTTTTTATGAGAAAGAAAAGTACACATTTTGCAAGAACTGGGTAATCCGGCAATTGAATGAGTCACTGAAAAGTATTTTAAGTTAATGGAAATTTGCAAAGCCGACAAAAGACGCACCGACGTAGCCACAAAAGATGGAAAAGGATGAACAGACATGCGTCTCTACATTGCACGAGCATATTTGGCTTTTGTTTAAAATTTCAGAATGCATGTGCAATAATTTTTTGCTATTGCAATTTGTAGGTAAAAACAGTCATAAAAACTAATCCAGGTCGCAAGACTATGCATAGCGAACAACGAATCCTTTTAAGTGAGCGTATGGATGTCCGAAGAGAACGAATAAGCCTAATCGATGCTTTCCAGCGATAACAACCAGAATTTTATGGAGAAAGCAAACTAAAGATCAAAAGGCCACCGCAAATTAGGCGACAAAGTGTTGATGGAAATTCGAAGATATTGTTAGACGAAAAAGTAACACAGGAAATTTGGGTAAGACACAAAAAATTGTGAAAATACGGTGAAATAATTTTTCAGTGCACTTACTGCAGTACAAGTACAAAACCAAAAGATAATATTTATTTATATATTTTTCGAGACACACAGCACCGCATTACATAAGAAAAATGGTAACAGCAACCATTGCTGTGATTTTATTATTGTCAACTACAGTGATTTTGAGCATCATAAGTGGAAGACATATGTACATATGTATGTATGTATGTATATGCACCTATAGATGGATGTTTGCATGTATCTATTTATTTTTGTACGTGACTTTTCTGTAAATTAGCGCAAAACTACAGGAACAAATAAAAATATACATAACTACAAAATACTAAAACATTTGGGACTTTTCGTACCAATGAACGCACCACAGAGCCTAACTAACCTACCGACAATCATCAATGGAAATAATCAAAAGCAAAAACTTGATACATACAAATACATACATATATGACTAATGAGTTAGTCTAATAGCAAACGAGCGAGCGCGTACGAGTTACATTTGTCTCTTACCGAAAAAAAAAAAACAAAAATCAAAAAAGAAATGGCCCTTTATTAATTTTTTGCCATTTTAAAATCTAAATCGTTTTTCTGCAACTTTATCACGTACGCATGCGCGTTACATTATTTTGTAAGTGAAAAAAAAAAAAACAATAAAAAAGAGCATGAAGAGAATAATAGATTTTACTTTCAGTTTCCGGCAGCTCGAAGCAACGGAAAATAAAATAAAACTAACAAATCAGAAACATAAAAGGAAATAAGAAAAATCTCAATTGCACATGACTGCCATTGTTGAATTGTGTAAATGAACCATATCGAGTTAGTTAAATGCAGATATTCATTTGTATGAGTATTTTCCGTAGGAACCGTAACTGTTGCGTAGTCAGCAGTCAGAGGTATAAATCAAGGAAAGGCCTAGACAACTTCAAAATCACACGAGAACATAATTTGTGTACTTAAAATTGGTGCTATGGTGACGATAAAAATACCCACCCCTTCAAAAATAGTCTTACCAACAGGGGCTCCGGCGCGCATAATTTTATCATAATTTGCTTTAAGTTGGCATCATTTATTCACTTAGTCACTTTCAATATACAGACGCGCACTTATGCACGAATATTTCTTCGAGGTTCCCCTTAATTACGGCCAAAATAATATTATTTGTTTACGGTAGCAATAGCGGTATAGGTAACCATCAACAAATGCCCAAAGAAAATAAATATACAAACATGCCAAAAGAGCAGTCAGTCAGTCGAATATGTCATTTAACTATTATTTATCTAAGCATGTTAGAGTTAACTAATGGCCAACTGGGCATTAGAAATGCCATATGGAGCAAAGCGCATAGCAAGAAGCCAGAAGCTGGCAATGAGAATATGTACTAAGAATGTTTGGAGAGGCCACTGGAGTGTGCGCTTAATAAAAATAAAAAAATACTAACAAACATGCCTGGGAATTTGCTTGCGGGTAAAAATGTCTGCAGCTAGGAAGCTGATTTAGAAGATGTGAGAAAATATATGATTATATGTATATACCTATGTATGCATCATTAGTTTCAAAATAATGTTCGTTGGAGCCAGGGGCGCACAGTGTAACGCCTGTGGCCAAAAATAGTAAAAATTAAGGTGGTGAGTTTAGAAATATTTTGTTGGGGACCCATCATAAATACTCTTATTAAAAGAGGACTAAAAGTTTTTGCACTATTTCCTCTTTTTGATTAAATAATTTGCTTCTCAAAGCAGAAGCTTAAAAAAACGTTTCTTTTATATTCAAAAATACTTGGTTTTTAAACTGTCTTTAGAAGGCTGCAAGCTTCTCATTTATGAAGCAATTTTCTTAATGTTATCTGTAATCAACTTTCCATGCACTTAGCGTTCAATCGCTTTCTCTCCACACACTTCTAATTTTCCGTTTCTGAATAAATTCATAACAAAGGATATTAAATGTAAATAAAGAAAAGAAGAAGAAAGAAATATAAACTTTGATAACAACAAGTAATTTTTAAGCAAAAAAACAAAACCGACTTCAATTCTCATAAAAACATTTAAGATTATCGTTAATTTCTTCATGATCCGATGATCGGACTTAAACCAAGTTAATACGTGAGGTAACATCTTTCCTTCGAAAAAAAAAACAATTATAGAAATCGGTTAGCGTGGTCCATTAGGGTTTGTGATGAGAGACCATTTGTTAAATTCGGGGTAATATATGTATGTAAATGAAGAAAGCCTCCTATTCTTATTATTCTTATTTTCAATGTATTTTCGTTTGAGATAGGGCGTTTTTGAACCGAATTTTAAGATATGGTGATCTTGGACAAAATTCTGAGATAGGGCATTTTTCAATCAAATTCAATTCAAAGTAGGGCGTTCTGGAAAAGTTTTCTTAGATAGAGCGTTGTTGAAAAATTTTCTGAGTTAGGGCGTTTTCGAACTGGCT